ATCTAGATAGTTTTTGCCTAGCTGCGGGACTTTTGTCCACGACTGTAAATATAAGCTTGAAATAAGATAAACAAATATGTAACATCTCAATCTATACTTACGAAATCTGGTACTCATAAGTGACTGACTACTTGCTGCACGAAACTCCATCGTCAAATAAACATAATCACGATATTCATTAATTCCACCAGTATCAAATGAAAATTCATATAAAGCACGACCGGTGTCTATCAATCGACTATAATCAAAAAAGAACACTCGTTGATGAAGATAGCCTATGGAACTATTTCGTGTTCCACCCCAAAACACACAATCATCTCTTGAAATATTTCCAATTAATGAAGGCAGTTCAGAATATTCAGTTACAATTGCTGCTGGCTCTTTGCGAACTATCCAGCCGAATATCTCCGTTGAATTTTTATTAGTTTGACAGTTTGCATCACCATTAATAATCAAATTAACTGATTCATTAAATAGATCTGATTGAAGATGGTCCTTGCTGTAAAATACATACGATCCATTAGGTAATATTGCATTTTTTATTTCTGCAGGTGGCACTTTACCAAAAATAGCACCTGATAAATTGACATTTTTCATGATAGCAAACTCTGCATGTACGCCTCGTAAATCTGCATTCGTTAAATCACATCCTGTAAAATCCACTTCAAATAAATAAGCATTACTAAAATTGGCATTGTTCAATACCGATCCACTGAAATTGGCGTTCTTGAGATGTAAATTAACAAATGAAGTATTCGACAACACAATATAAGTAAGAGCAATATAATCAAATATAAACTCCAAGTCGACATGACCCATTAATATTATTCCAGATAGATCAGAACCACTTAAATCAATTGCAGAACAATTAGTAAAAAGTAGTTCTATTTCATACAAAAATTGAATTATATAACTTTTTCGTTTCGTATCTAGTTGTCGTAGTGTTGATAATGTTTTGGCTCGAGCGAGTTTCCATTGTTGATCAAGTTCAATACTACTAAGATTTTTTGTTTTTAATTTCGACGATAATTCACCCATCTCTTTTATATAAACAGCATACACTGTTTCTTGATGTAATGTATCGGCTTGTTTTAGTTCTTGATCACGTTGTCGTGAAGCAATTTCCAAGTCTTTTAAACGATTTTGTTTGTTAACATGATATTGCTGAATAGTGGTCACAATTGTAAAGATACTAATAACCAATGGTACAAGAAATGTACCAAGTACCTTAAACATTTTAATTCTCGACAAGCCAGAACACCTTCTACGTCTATTTTCATTGGCTCTGTTCGATCCTGACGTGCGACGTTTGAATTGCATTGTAATTTGATAAATTCTGTTTTTTAACCATGGAAATCTTACAGGCATTTCTGAAACTAAAAGTTTAACGTAACAAATAGGTATACATCGAACTCAAATGCAAACAATTTGGGAGTTTGGATCTGCTCTAATAAGTTTATGTTTAAGTTCGGTACTAAGAATAATGAAATAATTTAAATCTGTAATCTTTGAGGGTTACCTGAGAGTAGTACCTGCATCTTTGTTAAGGGCTATCTAGGTGTAGTATTTGTAACTTGTTAAGGACTATCTAGAAGTACTACCTACAGTTTTTCCAGGGCTATCCAAGGGTAAAATCTGTAAATTTTTAAAGATTTTCTTGAGTTGGTATTTATAACTTTTTAGGAGTTGCACTGAGAGTCGTATTTGTGTTTTTTTTAAGGACTATCTGATGATATTACTTATAACTTTTTAGCGGCTATCTAAAGACGATACCTTAACTTTTTTAGATCCATCTCATGCTTCAATTTTTAAAGGAGCATTTGAGTTTTACGCCTATGACTATTAAGTATGCCTAAGTGTGCTCTCTGGAACTTTATAAGGATTATCTGAGGAAGTTGTCAGTAATTTTTTGAGTTTTACTGTAGAGCTAAAAATATTAAAAGTTGCGTTCTCGTCTAGAACTAAACTACGGAGCTTATAGCTGTTGAACTTTCCAGGAGGTTCTGTGGAATTTCATGGAGCGTGTCGAAATGCTTTATAGTTTTCTGTAGTTTTTGAAGATTCATCAGATTTGACGAAGATTTATGAAATCTTTTGAAACCTTTGCAATTTTCTAATGTCTCGTGGAGTCTCATGTAACTTCCTTTTCTGGAAACCTGCACTTACATTCTCTACATCGAGTAGACTCGAACCGCTGAAAGTACCGCTTCCAGGTAGCCATGAAAAAGTTACCAATACCTTCGCTTCCAATATTTTCGAAAAGGTCAATGGTCTCAACTTCAGATTTCCCTTAAAAAGTTATAGGTATCACTCCTACATAGCTCTTAAAAAGTTGCAGGTACTACCTCGAAATAGCCCTTCAAAACGTGCAGATATTGCCCTTAAGAAGTTCTCAAAGATTACAGGTTTAAATTATTCCATTAGTCTTAGTATTAAACCCAAACTCAAATCTAAATTCATTAGACCAAACTCAAATGATTTGAGTTTGGTGCATGCCCAATAACAAACGAGCCAAATTAGATGATCTCTCATCCAAACAGGCCGGCTTCAAAAAATTATGCGTTTAGATTTAGTTATTATGCGAACCGTGTGCTATAGAAAATCATATTGATTATAGTAGAAGTTATAAATAACTATCTACAAAATATACAAAATATCTTTTGATCAAGATGAAGAACTGTTTTTGAAAACTGGTAATAGCAACGAGTAAATAAAAACATCTAAACTGTTCTTTTTTTTCTATGATACAAGTTGAAGATATATCACAAATATTTTAACCTTTTATGATGGAGAAATCTAAATAAAATGCTTTCAGGGTAATCCCTATGGGATTAAAATGTGAAGCACGATGGACTGCTTCGCCTGATCAAGCAGAGTCTTAGCCAGATGGGCCATTGTGATGCTCTAAAGCTTTATCAATTTTGTCTGTCTGTCTTTTATGGTTTGTGACGCTAGTAAATCCTGCTCTTCCATCCGTGCATCTGTTCTTCTATTTGTCATAGTCTGTGATACAGGTAGTACGGATGCTATTAAAACCTACCATTCCGTCCGTCTGTCTGTCCGTCACGGTCTGTGAGGATGGGTTGAAAGTTCTCGCTATATAACTTCAACACTTATTTTCAATCGTATTCCATAAGGAGATGTTGAAAAGAGTACAAATGGAAGAAAAAGAGAACAGAGAAGCTAATGTGATTATTCGCACAAAACTACTAACGTATTTCATTCGAGAGCGTGACCGTTTATTATGTATGTAATAAAAAAAAGTTGATTGATTGTTTTCCACTGTGCTATATCAACAAGTGTATTCACGATTTGTCTGTTCAGTTCTTCAGAAAAATCAAAACCTACTTGTTTTTCTATCTGTAGAAAAAAGAGAAAAGCACAAATTACCAATAATATCAGTACTCTTGATACATGCTTAGTTGTGTTTTAAGACTCAATCGTAAGGAAAAACAAGTTGAACAAAAAAGAACATTATACTATATTTCAAGATTAAGACGTAGATAACTAGTATATCCATAGAAAAAAACGAGTTATTTAAGTTTCTATCAGCCAAAGTTGATTGCTTCGACAAAAAATAACAGATATATCATAAAAGAGAACTATTTATCTAGCTAATACTAAAAATTGACTGCTGCAATAAGAAGAAATAGACTTTTATTAAAAAAGAACTATCTGTCATGCAATCAGTCGGAGCTAATAACTTCAACAGAAAAAAAAAGATTTAAGAGACGATCCACGACTCAAAATGTTGACCCCCCTTTTTTATTATTGCAAATGAAAGAGCATATTGAAAAATCTCTAAATCTAAAATTTTAGCCTTTGTTGACTGACCCTTGAATGGATACGAAAGAAACGCGGAATTTCTCGGCAAAGCTCAAAAATGCTTTTATAAATTTTTTTTCGTTCTCAGTAAATGATTATTTTTTTGTTAAGAGCCTATCGATTTCAATCGAATAATATTTCAAAAGATAGAGCAAGTTTCACTCTACAAAACTGTATATTTGGGTCTTCTTTAAATCCTATTTTAATATGGTTTTAGGGTCTAAAACTTCAGAGGAAGATCAAAAAATACATGAAAATTTTGCGCCGTCTTTTACTGTTTTTATCGAAAGAAAACATCAACAATGACGCAGGCCGACTTTTATTTCTTATGGATTCGATAGAGCGGAAAAAACTGCACAAGATGAACCTTA